AAAGCTCTTGACATATCATATTTCATACATAAGCTTCAAGTTGAGATGCATTTATATTGGAAGGCATGTTAGTCTATATGAAAAAAAGATGTAAGTCTGTAAAAAAGATGAGAATATATAATACTAACTGAAAGAAAATTGATGGAACTCTTTAATATCAAACAAAATAGACTTTAAGAAATAAAAACATCATTACACATGTATAGTTATATTGATAAAAAGGTCATTATATAAAGAAAATTTAAGAATTATAAACTTGTGTGTATCTAATAAGTTTACTCAAAAAACAGAAAGCAAAAATTAAAACTACCACAAGAAAAACTGACCAACTGAATATCAGAGTGATAGAATTTAGTATATCATCTTTTAATTTAAAAGATTAAGCATATATGAGAAAGGACATAGAATATTAGGTCATAACTATTAACAAGCATATCTGAATATAAGACCTCACCACCAGAAAACTGATTGATGAATTCTGGACTCAACAAATTTCAAGTAACTATGATTATGCAGACTACATTCATTAACAACAGCAACAAAAAGCCCTGGAAATCATACTTCAAACAAATCTTGGTAAAAACACACACATACATATATATATGAAGATGTTGTACATACATATGTCTATATAAGCATATATACATATATATTTTTGAAATATATATGAAATAGTATTTTTAAACTGACCTAAAATAAAAACAATTTATCAAGCTTATGAAATATAGCTAAAGTAGGACTTCAAAGAAAATTTACAGTCTATGTACTTAAAAGGAAATTTTTAATTATTGAAAAAGAAAAGATCTTTACAAATTCAGAAAGAATATAGATAAGAATGGAAATTAATGAACTAGAAGGTGATGATACAACAGAGGTAAAAAATATTCTTTAAAAAACATGAATAAAACTGACAAACCTTTAACAAAAATGATTTTTTTTTAAAAAGAGAAAACAAAAATAAAAATTATGAGCCTTAAAAGTAACAAAACTACTAGTTAGTGAAGGAGAGATTTAAGATATTAAAAAAATTTCTTTAAGAGTGAGTAACAAAACTACTA